AACTCTGCTCACGGCCACAAGACTACTAGCAATATTTGTGCTACTTGGCGTACTTCTATGGGTATTACTCTATTCCCCCATCCTGCAGTTAGCCCTGATATGAATCCTATTGAGAAGTGCTGGAGGAGAATAAAACAAGCTCTCCATAGGCGCCTAAGGCAGCCAACAACTGAGGTTCAAATGGTTGTAGCAGTATTAGAAGAATGGGACAAAATTCCTCAGGAATGGATCAATGGGCTTATTGAGCAGCAGGACTTCTGGGTACACGACTTAATTAAGCGATGTGGCTGGTCTACAGCTAATTAATTAATAAAATTCATGATTCTGATGCCCTGAACGCACGGACTTTTGTCCCCATGTTCGTAAGTCTAGATATTGAAAAACTATGTGCCTAACAAATAAGCTTAATACTAACAGTTATTAGGAGGCCTGCCGATCTAGCCTTTTTCAAGTCACTTTGTCAGGATGCCACATAGGCAGAACAAGACATTGTTGAAGTCTTTTCCCAGAAGGACGATTTTATTAATAACTTTGAATTCACTCTTGTTCATATCGCCGTTCTTGAGCTTTATGATATCAAGGACCACGAACGACCTCCGCTTGAATCGTATGTATCTTACACTAAAATTTCACTACTACCTCTTCGTCTTGAGAGTTTTCTTCTCCACTTTATTCAAATTTATCCGTTTCATGATCCACACGAACGCAATTTGACTCTACAATAAACTAATTCAACTCATCGATGCTACGAACAACGCCCCTCTAAATACAAACTAGACTAAATGGAAATCACAATATAATACGAAGTCTCCTCTCTTGGCTAGCATCATAGAGTACTTCAAAGCGTCGGCATTTGAACAACGAAAGGCAACAAAAGTCATCCACAACTTACTTGATCGAAGAGACAAGAAAAATTACTAGACCCCACTCCAATAGGCTACAGCTACAGAACGCATTAACAAGATAAACATTCTTGTTAAGCATAAAGCGAACCCATTTCTTCTTTCAAATCTGAATGCGAATATTCTGCATACAGCAGCAGAGTCAAAAGTACCACATAGATTATCCGTAGCCCTTCAAATCCGGGAACGCTATCCGGATTAGCTTGACATAAATCAAATTAATCGATGGGCTGAGACCCCACTCCACGTGGCTAGCTGGTCCTCCCTAGCTTGTGTCAGGCTTCTCTTGGAAGTAGGCGTAGACCTTGATGTGCAACAAGAGGATGGGCAGGTTCCACTTCATTGTGTAGGGCTCTCTAGACCAGGCTTTGATAGATTAGAGGTTGTTTCGCTCTTATGTAGTGCGAGCAGCTCGAAGCATATCAATACTTAGGATTTTGACGGTCGACCGCCAATCTTTGAGTTCCTAGATAATCCTCAGTGTATAAAAACACTCATCAATCATGGTGCCCGTTTGGATCTGACTGATAACGGAGGGAGAACATTTTTCCACTATGCTTGTATACAAGGCGAAAGTGATGCTTTGGAGACCGTTTTAAGTACGGATTTTGGTTTTGCAATAGCTACGACGAAGGACTTTGACGGCGATAGCCCACTCATCGAAGCACTCTTTTACTTCAATGTTGATTGCGCTATGGCCCTCCTTGAACTTGAGGATGTTGGGGATATTGTTGGCTAGAACGGGTGGACCGCTGCTCATTACGCGGCGAAGATTGGAGATACGGATATACTTGAATCAGTGTTGAAACATGTTAGCTTTGTAAAGGGCATGAAAACTAATAATAGCAAGACTGTTGACACTATAGCAATGGAGGCAGGTACATGGCATGGGGAGAATAAAGCCTTGATTAGGGAGTACAACTCCATGGGATACAATTGATCCGAGGAAATCCTGGACCACTCGATGTCTTTCATTTTGTTTCCACTATTTCTTCTTTAGTATATGGTGTTTTTATCCTTCTCGTATATTTACGCTAATATAACTTACAGTAGCTTTGGGGTGTTTGTTATGAACATCAAGCACTTCTTGGGGGCCTTGTAGGCTGTTGATATAATAAATACAAAATTGTAGCCACAAAGTTGATATGATTTATGGACTAAGAACACAAAACGAGGAAATGTTTTTATGGGAGCTTGGAATCATGTTTGTACGAGCTAAAAGTTTCTGGTATGACAATCTATGATCGTACATTAAATATTTTCCGATATCGTTAGGATTAGCATATTGAAGGAAAAGACTAATGAGAACCGGCGAATATTGCTTGAATCATTTGGCACATGCCGAATCATCAAGACAAGGAGAATGACAACGGCCGCTATTAAAGCGAAAAAGAAGGACGTAATGAACCCTCTACCTAAAATCACCCTAGGGTCGAGTAATCCTTCACAGCAAATAGCTCCTTTGCATGACGTAGCTCTTCTCTAGCTCTCAGCAAAGCAAAACTATCAGAGGAAGTGAACATCAGGGACCTCCCGTCCCCCCTCGAAATGAGCCACTCGTCATCTCTGGTCGCTAATCCGGAGTATAGCATATTGTGCTTTGCCAACGTCGTTCGAAGCGTCTCCAGAGCACTAACCCACTCTGGCTCTTCACCCCAGAAACCTAGTAGACCCATAGACACGCGGCAGTCAAGATTGCCGAGCCATACAAAGTCAATATGCTCTCCTATGGCCATAAGAATAGAGTCAAGGTTGTTAATACCTTTCAGTGATTCGACCTAGATAATGACAGCAGCTTACGCATTTTGATTCTCCCAAAACGTCAATGTTGGGTTAGAGTAGTACATGGACGAGTCAGTTATCCATCGGCCTGGGGGTGCAGAGCGTTTTCCATTAATCTTGGCACCGAATTTGGCGACTAATACGATGCCCTATGCCTATTCGATTGTCTCGACCTATGGAAGAACAATACTTGCGCCAGCATCCAGCGCATAACCAATAGCGGCGTGATCATGTCCTAAGATTCTAGTAATATTAGGTGCAGCTTGGCTATTCTGAAGTGGAAGTGCTTGCCGTACTAAAGCTACGGTTTTACTCTCGCTTACCAGTTGAATTTGATGAATTGTCTGCAATACATGTCAGTGTGAGGATCTATAATAGAATAAAAGCATATCTACCTCAGTCATGGTCTCCACTGACATGTTTGAATGCTCCCAATTTATCCAAATGAAATCAAATCCAAGCTGAGCCACAAGCTTTGTGATGGCGAGAGAGGCCAAAGTGGAGAAAAAGCCGATCAATGGGGGTATTCGGCCATGATGGGCGTCGGAAATAGCTCGGCGGGCTTTGTGCGGTTGCAAAAGGCTGGGGGCTCGATATGCTGCCATGCTTTTCGCCGAGTACGCCTTGTACTCATCTCCAATGGGGACGGAAGGATCCATACTAAGAGTGTCGATTCTATTAATATTCTTATTATAAAAATAGTAGTGATATGGGGAAGTGTATGTTCGGATGGTGCGAAGTAATCTTAAGAGGGATTAAATATTGTAGCCGGGATGTCTCGATGCCTTTAAGGTGCTTCTCTACGTCACACAGCACCTACTTAAAGCACCAAGCGATAAAAATACTCAATAGATGCTACTTACCTTGCGTGCGTGGAAGAGGGTGTGTGTCGAATTCATGCACCCACAAATACTACCCTTGCAACGCCCAACATCTCGCACGTTCGGGCAAGAAGGGATGAAGTCAATGTTACACAAGGACTACACCTCATATAGCCAATAACGATGTAAGCCCCCACTTTAAGAACATCACAAAAAGGCAGGTTCTTGTAACTATGAGTTTAACATTGCATCATCTTGCCATTTTCGAATTACAAGCCTCAACCTTTTAGCAATTACCAGTCCTGTAATACACAATAAAGAAAGTGAGGATGGCCAAAGCCCTACGCTAGAATTTGCTCTTCTCTATTGCCGCAGTAGTCATCGCAATATATTTGGTCTCAAGAGGCGACTTCGTCAAGCATTATCTACTCCTCTCATCTGACAAGCATTTCAATAGTCAGGAGCAAAACATGGATGCAATTGCTTCTTTGAATTCAATATGCAATAAGATTGGCGTTAGTATGATCAAATCGGGAGGCAATGCTGCAAATGCTATAAGTATAGATTTTATCTGTGACTATACGCAACCTTAAGTCCAACATTATTCGTTAAAGATCACTAATACATCAAATAAGCCATTACGATGGAATTCTGTGTTAGGGTTATTAGTAGGCGATATTCTTTGGATATAGATTGACGATACTAAATGACATGTCTAGGCATGGCTTCCACAGGCTTAGGTGGAGGTGGGATTGCTCTGATCAAAAGCTCGGATGGATCTTACGAGAACGTAGACTTCCGGGAAACTACACTTGCCGCAGCTTTCGAAAACATGTACAATAGCAATTACAACATGTCGCTATTTGGTAGCCTTGCCAAGTGAGTCTTGTTAGTTGCTAAACTTTCGGGGAGAAAGCTAATAGTAATAGAGTGGGATTCCCAAAGAGCTACGAGAGCTTGAATACATACATCAACGATATTCTAGACTATCTTGGCAAGAGCTCATTGCGCCATCCATTAATCTAGCACGGCGTGGCTTTCCAGTCAACCAAGACCTAGTAAATATGATGAAAGAAATCAGCGACCCCAAGTTCTTACTAGAAGATCAAGGATGGTCTGTTGACTTTGCTCCAAATAGTACTTTACTGGGAGTTGGGAACACAATCACCAGAAAGCGACTTGCCAATCTACTAGAGAGAATCTCCAAAGAAGGAGCGGATGCCTTCTACGCCGGCGAAGTTGCAAAGGCCACAATTGCAGCTCTCCAGGCAGCTAATGGTACTATGACTATGAAGGACCTTAAAGACTATTCGGTTGTATCACAGCCAACATTGGCTATTACATATCGAGACTACAAAATTATCTCATCGGGGGCACCAACAAGTGGCTCGATAGTGCTTAGTGTTATGAAGACCATCGAAGGCTATGGTTCCATGGCGAATTTGGAATTTCTAGAACTTAGCACCCATCGCTTTGTTGAAGCTATGAGATTCGGCTATGGCTTGGTCAGTTTAAGTGTTTATGTGCACTGATTCTCATTAACGAAGTTACAGAGAACACAGCTAGGTGATCCATTGTTCATGGATAACATTACCATGTTCGAAAAGAGCATAATCACCAAGCTCATGGCATCCAGAACCCGGTCAAAAATCTCAGATGCTACCTCACAACCCATTTCGTCGTATGATCCACTTGGTATTGAAAGTTTAGAGACTCATGGCACCTCCCATATAGTTGCAGCCGATGCTTCAGGAATGGCCATCTCTCTCACAAGCTCAATAAATGTATTATTTGGGTCAAGGCTTATTGTTCCAGAGACTGGCCTTATTTTGAACAACGAAATGAACGACTTTTCGGTTCCGGGTTTCAGACGTATTTGGATATATGCCTTCACTAGTCAGCTTCGTGGCCCCAGGTAAACGTCCACAATTATCCATGTCTCTTGTAATTGTGGAAACTTCCGAAGGCTCGTTCTACTTTGCACTGGGTGGTGTTAGTGGCTCCTACATAATTACTGCTGTTCTACAATGTCTCTGGAACGTGCTAGATCGCAATATGTCGCTATCTCAGGCTTTAGAGGAGCCTCGTTTCCATGATCAACTCATACTAAACATTATAAACTTCGAACATTCTTATAATAACGATACAACGATGTCCACGGCTCAAAGACTCCATCATATAGGCTAGTTATCTAGAAAGGAAAGCAGAATTCAAGCAGTAAAAATGTTTGCAAACGGAAGCTTTAAAGC